CAAGACACTGAACCCCAAACTGTTCCCGATGAGCATGGCAGCTCCGCCAACATTGGTTTGTGAGGGGGTTGTGTCCCAAAATTTAGACTTACAACGTTTAAAATCCGGTTTTATTTGTTAAATTCAAAATAATGGGGATATTTCCAGCTGTCAGTGTTCAATTACAAAAATTAATCCAAGGTTGTGATTGGATTGTTGGGTTTCAAACCAGTAGAGGGTGACAACAAAAGTATTGTAACTAATTATGTTTTGGGGGGGTTACTGTATTACTATTACTGTCAGGTATTAATAATAACTTACACTACTAGTTACTGGGGAAATAAATATTATTACTAGTAATGAGTTTGGTCCTTACAACATAAAATCAAAACATTACCTGAGACCTATATTCTTCTACCTATAAGTCTTTTCAGGAGAGTAAGCAGAGCGGGTTCGGTTGGCTCCAGTGTTCATTTAATTTTTTTAAAATTACATCACATTACATGGAGAATCATGAAACTCCCTCCAATCCTCAGAGCAAACAATGAGCAACGGCATTAAAAATTGATAAATGATTGAACAAACGCAAGCACTGCAGGGAGAAACAGGATTAACATTCTGTCGACTGCGATGCTAATGGCAGGTTGACTCCTGCAGAACTTAATTTGTCAGCTTCATTTGATTCTCATTAGAATTTGCAGTGCAGCGTTTTGTTTTTGAGTGCAACAACAAACCTTTTCAATGTAGGCTAGAACTATGCTGCCAATGATCAGTTGCCATACACAAGTACAGAATGGTTACAGAACAAGGTGACATGTTAATATTTAATAATTAAACAAACATTAGGTTTAATTTCATGCTGTAAACATGCTGTAAAAAGGTCATTTTTCTTTCCTTTACGTGTGATGTTGGGATGTAACTCTTCACTTGCCCTCCCAACATCGCTGGTTTGGAGGAGTCTGACTCTTTACACAGCAAACAGCAGGCAGATGTGACCTGGGTTGACGCACAGATTCATCCTTTCATTACTTCATCATTTCACCAGACATGTCTCACTCTCCTCTCCCACAGCATTCCGCTTACAGCTTCCTTTAACAGGCTGCCATTAGCACTGCTTAACCACATCATCCTCACTTCAAACCAAACTCCACTACCCAGCATCCATCCTGGCAAGGGGTACAGTAAACTTCACTACACTTCATGTCTGTCCATTATTCTTTCGCTGTTCTGGGTTTTTTTCAGTCTCATCTTTGCTTTCATGTCCATCTTTTATTAAATGATGAAGATGTATTTCAGGGTTAGAAAATCCTAAAAACTTTATTGATATAGAGATTACAATAATGGCCACTATTATTTCTACCATTTTTTCCTTCTGCTTAATTTCAGGCCTTAGAAGCAACAGATTATGAATAAAGTCTTATTGTGATTGTGGCATCCTGTCATTTTAGACAGGTCAGACACTAAGACTTTTTGTAGTGTGTTTTCCTCATAATTTTGTGTATACACTATGTAAACAAAACTTTTACTTTATACTTAACATACCTACTTAAACTTAAGCTTTACTGTATAATAATATTTTTATGGTAAGTTAAAAATTTTAAATCTATGTCAGAAATAAGGCCGATTAAAATAACATTAAACATGTGAAATCACTTTTCTGAGTGTCAAAACAACAACTAAATACAAATTTTTACATTTCTGTCACATTCCTCACATCCTACTCATTCCATCTTTATCTTGTCTCCCCTGACAACATGTTTCTTGTCTACCTCCAACCAAATTATTCTCTTCCTGTCACCTACCTTCATCCCTCTCTCCTAACCAACACACCCTCTTTTCCTTCGTCCATTTTGATAACTTATGACTTAACTGGATACTCTCCTCCTCCTCGTCCTCCTCCTTGTCCCCCTCAGACCATGGAGACCCAGATGGAGGAGTGGTATAGGGAGGTGGGGCAGCTCCAGGTGCAGGTGGCCACCATCCCGCAGCAGACACAGATCAAGGAGACGGTTGCCGGGCGCCAGGCAGCCGTGGAGGCCAGGATGGTGCGTCTGATCGAGCCGCTGAAGGAGAGGCGACGCATCCTGCTGGCGTCTAAAGAAGTTCACCAAGTTGGACGAGACCTGGAGGATGAGATTGTGAGTTTGAAGAAACACACTGCACACTAATCTCAACCATTATACCTTATACTTAAAAGTCTTAATGGTCAATTTTAATGATTTACTTTGTGGGGACATGCATTTTGCAACATGGGTTTCTACATGTTATGACCTGGACGTTTAATTGATTTATTGTTGTCACTCATATTTTCACAATAAGCTGTGTTTTTATTTTTTTCTTTGCAGACTTTACAAATGCATTTGAGTCCAAATTATTTTAGAAATGTGTTAGATATCTCTACAACTTAATTAGATTCTATTGTTAATGAGATTCAGCAAGATATTCCTGTAAATTTACAAGTTTTAAAAACATTTTTAATGTATAGTGTTAACGAAAAAGATGAATTCATTTATTTTGATTTCATGTGGCACTTGACAGGTTTAATTGAATCTATTAAATTACCACAAACTCATAAAAGTACGAATATTCACTGCTATTGTTGTGGTTATAGTTGTGGATCCAGGAGCGCCTCCCGATGGCCATGTCTCAGGAGCACGGCTCCACTCTCCAGGCAGTCCAGCAGCTCATGAAGAAGAACCAGGTAAGAAAATCAGACTTTCCAGTGACTCTAACTCCAGCCTAACACATAACTGAACTCTGGCTCCCCCTGTTGGTACACTGTCACCACCCAAATATCAAATTTCCTAAAACCTAATTTATCTCCTTTATGCCTATTCACCTATTTTATTTTACACTGTCCTTTATTTTCTCCTATAATTCCACATGTTCTGTTTTAAACAACATAGAAACATCCTTCTTCCTGTTAATGCCCTCTGCCTCTCCTCCAGACACTTCAGAGGGAGCTTCAGGGTCACAGGGGCAGGATCGAGGACGTCCTGGAGAGAGCAGGGATCATCGCTTCCATACGCAGCCCTGAGGCCGACTGCGTCAGGGCGGGCCACGACCAGCTGGCCCAGCTGTGGGCTCTGCTCTGGGCCGAGACCGAGAGGAGGCAGTTGATCCTGGACGCCATGTACCAGGCCCAGCAGTACTACTTTGACACAGCCGAGGTGGAGGCCTGGCTGAGCGAGCAGGAGCTGCACATGATGAATGAGGAGAAGGGGAAGGTGTGTGTGCAATTGTCTGAAAGTTACTGGGCATTTGAATAAATCCTTTTCCTCTTCCCTGAGTGCACAAGTCATCAGTAATGCTTTAATGTTAATCTGACTTAAACATAGAGGCAGGATTGAGCATTTGTGCTGTGTGTGTATTATTTCTAAAGTGAAACTCTTCCTTGTGTGTGTCGTTTCCTCCTCCCACCAGGACGAGCCAAGCACACTGCAGCTGCTGAAGAAACACTTGGTCCTGGAACAGACCATTGAGGACTATGCTGAGACCATCGGCCTGCTGTCACAGCAATGCCGACAGCTGCTGGAGATGGGGCATCCAGACTGGTGAGCATGTAAACACACACACACACACACACACACACACACAACCTAATATAGATTTTCGGTCACCACAAAATGAATTACAGAAATATTTTAACTACTGTATAAAAATTTGCTCTCAAGACTGCAAGCATTGCTGACCTTTTCTTCAGAAAATTTCGTATTGATTATTCACACTGTTAATGAATATACACTCAGTGGCCATTTTATAAGGTACTGTACAACTTTACATCTGCTCGTTAATGCAAATATCTAATCAGCCAATCATGTAGCAGCAGCTCAATACATAAAAGAAGGAAGACATAGTAAAGAGGTATAGGGAAGAAATGTGATCTACAGTAACTGACTTTGACCGTGGAATAATTATTGGTGCCAGACAGGAAAGTTTAAGTATATCAGAAACTACTAATATCCTGATTTACGAAGAATTGAGTGAAAAACTAAAAAACATCCAGTGAGCAGCAGGTCAGTGGACGAAAACACCTTGTTAATGAGAGAGTTCAGAGGACAGTGAGCAGACTGGTTCAAGCTGACAGGAAGGCAACAGTAGATCAAATATGCAGGCGTTACAAGAGTGCTATGCAGAAGAGAATCTCTGAGCACAGCGAACCTTAAAGTGGACCAAATATAGTGGCAGTGTACTACAGCAGGTTCCACTATTGTCAGCTAAGACCAGGAAACTGAAGCTACAGTGACCAGAAGTTCACTACAACTGGACTGTGGAAGAGTGGAATAAGAGTGGACAGTAAATAACAGCACTTCTACCCTGACACACTATCTCTTCTCTTTTCCACAGCGAGCAGATCAGCAAGCGTCAGTCGCAGATCGACCGTCTGTATGTGTCTCTGAAGGACCTGGTGGAGGAGAGGAAGAGCCGCCTGGAGCAGCAGTACTGGCTCTACCAGCTCAACAGGGAAGTGGACGAGCTGGAGCAATGGATCGCTCAGAGGGAGGTGGTCGCCAGCTCGCCCGAACTGGGTCAAGACTTTGAGCATGTCACTGTAAGTTTGTCGACAGATGGTGTCTGTGGATGAATAAACATTTCTTATAAGTCACATGTTGAAATCAAACAATCAAAATCACTCTCTTTGTTACATCAAGTTACAACTGTGAATTGGACAGTGACATGATGGTAAAAATGCACAGGTACTTTAAACAAGCAGCTAATAAATGTACTCTGTGAATAAGTAATTTACTTTTCTGTTCTTCTTATATGTCCCTTCCTTACCTCCGCCCCTGCCACACCTCCAGGTCCTGCAGGAGAAGTTCACAGAGTTTGCGTCAGAGACGGGAAGTGTGGGGCAGGAACGAGTGACTGCCGTCAACCAAATGGTGGACGAGCTCATCGACTACGGCCACTCGGAGGCCGCCACCATCGCTGAATGGAAGGACGGGGTGAACGAGGCTTGGGCCGACCTGCTGGAGCTCATGGAGACCCGGGCGCAGATGCTCGCTGCTTCACACCAGCTTCATAAGTTCTTCTCTGACTGCAGAGAGGTAAGATACACAGCTGAGATGCAAGACAAGACAGAGATATGATGTAGTGTTTAATACTGTATAATGATACCACTTTATTGATCTCTGAGGGGAAATTCACTTCAACACAACAACAATACATAGCATAATATCTTCTGATTTGTACAGATTTTTTTTTAAAGAAGCAGACACATTTAATGTTTTCATGCATCTAATGTTTTAGTGTTTTTTGCTGCAAGAAGACCCTTTTTATCACAGTTTAAAGTAACCAAGGCCCTTATTGTCATGAGAACAGCTCAAAAACTGCTGAATGCACACCAGTGTCCTTCAAAGTAAGGAAACTATGCAGTGTTTTTGCCCAGCAGAAGGTTTTTTTAATGTATGATACGACGCAATATGACAGGAAGCTGTTGCTGTAGAGGATAAACATAGTGAATAAACTGTAAAATAGTTACAAAATGTCAACAAACGTACATTCTGGATATAGTTTAGATGATTTTGAAAAGATTTCTCAGATTTCTCAGTTACTCCTTTTTCTACACAAATCTCACAGACGTTGTATAAGATGCACTTTCCCCCCCACACTGTGTTCTCACGTGGGACACTTCTATGTTCTTTTTTCCAGGTTTTGGCCCAGATTGAGGACAAACATCGAAGGCTGCCGGAGGTTCGGGCTCGGCAGGGCAGCACTGCCAACACCAGCACCCTGCAGAGACTCCTGCACAGCTTTGAACAGGACATACAGCTGCTCGTCACGCAAGTAAAGCAACAAGCACATGAACAGACCGCATGTAAAACTACCTGTTTCAGTATTCACTGGCCTCGAGACTCATGTAGGGAAGAATCACAAAGACTTCCCACAGTGATGATCACTCTGTAAAGGTCCACAGGACTTCTATGCTAATTTAGCTCTCTTGCTAAACACTGTGCCTCACATTCAAACACATGTGAGGTGGAGGTGATAATTCAATCAGTAAAATAACAATAATATCATTATGGTTTTCATATCAATCCACAATTTATATTTACACCTTACAGTTTATTGTTAGTATGTATGTTTATTCTTAATAAGTATGGTTGTAACTTGGATGTGATTAAGTAGTTATAATTTTTTTAAATCTGTAAATTAAATTAATTTAAAAACTTAAATTGAATATAAATAGATGGTGAAAATAATTGGTTATTTTTTAGCCTCAGTCTGAATCTTCATAGCGAAACTACCTTCTTACTCTGCATTTAATTTTGCTTTATCTAGTCTCTGTCATGCACCTGGGGAACGGGACAGCGGTACATTTTACTGAAGAACGATGCAAAATCACAGCTGCTCTGTGTCACCTCCAGTGACAGAGCCTGTACCATTTGGCCCTGCCTAAACACAGCTGTCAGAGCAGCTGTGTTTTGTGCGTCATTTGAAAAGCAGACTCTTTCTCTTTCATTTTTTAATTTCTGTTTCTTCCTTGTTCAGCTTTCGTTTTTCTAAAATCTGCCCTCCCATTCTGCCAGGTGCGTCAGCTGCAGGAGAGCGCAGCCCAGCTGAGGACGGTGTACGCTGGCGAGAAGGCTGAAGCCATAGCGTGCCGCGAGCATGAAGTGATGCAGTACTGGAAAGAGCTGCTGACATCCTGCGAGGAGTGTCGAGTGCAGATTACCACTGAGACGGACAAGCTGAGGTTCTTCAGCATGGTCCGAGATCAGATCACGTGGATGGAATCTATCATTTGTCAGATAGGGACAGGAGAGAAGCCCAGGTATCTACACATAGGAACACATAATCTGTGATTTTACCTTTTAGTGTTGATTCTCATTTAACATAAGACTGTGGATCAAAATTAGGTTTAAAATGACTGTTATTAGCAGACATTATACAGTACAACTATTAGTATACCGGTAATCAGCTTAAGGGGTTTTTGATTTCAAGTAAAAGAAGAAATTTTAATATATATTATATATAAGTATATTGTAGTGGTTCGGTTTAGTATGGTTGGTGTGGTAGCCAGCAGGGTTAAACACTTAGCAGGTGTAGGTGTTTGTGTTGCGGTGAGCTGAGTGTCTGTGTCCTCTGTGGTTCCTGCAGGGACGTGTCCTCAGTTGAGGTGCTGATGAATTATCACCAGAGTCTGAAGAGCGAAGTGGAGGCTCGCAGCCGGAGCACCCTGGAGTGTATCGAGATGGGCAAAACCCTGCTGGCAGCTAGAAACCCAGCATCTGAAGAGGTGAGATCAGAGATATGATGATTACTAAAAACTTCAATTACACTTAATCTACACTGAAAACAGGATCAGTGCAGCAGCAATACTACTCTAAATCAAATTACATACATTTTACACTACAACTCCTCTACCAAATTCCTCATGTTGACTATTGACCAGTGTCACATGAGCTTTGAAAATCCATAAATGTTTGCAAATTTGAAAAAGCTAAAAGCCTTAAAAGCCTTTAGACGTTTTCAATAAAGAATTAATTGTCTTGAAAGTACTTGGATCACAGACCTCCACAGACATCTTTTTAAACAGACAGACAGACAGACAGACAGACAGACAGATAAAGCTAAGTCACACATGAATGAATCACAAAAAAACATGAGAAACACAAACAGGTAAATAAGAAAACAGAATAATAAAAACTTAAAAGTAAACTAAAAGCAACTAAAATCTTATTTACAAAGTGCACTAAAACTAAAAACTAGTACCAAATTAAATATATACAAGAATAGCCCCTGATAGTATTCTGTACATCGTTAGTGTTGTTATGTTAGTTACTTTTTGTGATACTGTGATTTTGATGTTGCTGATTTTGATTCTCAGATCAAGGACAAGCTCGAAAAAGTGGTTGCTAAGCAACATGAGCTGTCTGAGAAGTGGGACAAGCACTGGGAAGTCCTACAGCAATGTGAGTACGCACACACACACACACACACACACACAGGCCTACAGTCTTACATATAGACAGATGTACAAACGCAAACACATAAATAACATAAAGTATGAATATACATTTACTGTTCAAGGGCAAATTTAAAATCTTTTGTTTCTCCTCTCCCCCCCTCAGTGTTGGAGGTTCACCAGTTTGCCCAGGAGGCGGTCGTGGCGGAGGCGTGGCTGACCGCTCAGGAGCCTTTCATAAACAGCAAGGAGCTGGGCGGGAGCGTCGACGAGGTGGAGCAGCTGATTCGTCGCCATGAAGCCTTCCGCAAAGCCGCCGCCACCTGGGAAGAGCGATTCAGCTCACTGCGACGACTCACCACGGTAATATCATCATAAACACATACCCAACCCAAGAGAGAGTTTTCTGCTGATAAAAAAGGGGAAGTTGTCGGTTCCAAAAATACTATAATCATTGGCTAAAAGCTGAGGATTTACAATAAGGAGATTATTATTATTAGTCTCAAAGTTTGACTTTAAAGCTGGTTCTGTTTTCTTTCCACAGGTCGAAAAGTTGAAAGCAGAGCAAAGCAAACTCCCCCCGACCCCTCTGCTGGGTCGTAAAGTCTTCCTTGACCCCCAAGATGCCTCACCAAGTCCATCCACCCTCCCCCGCCTCCCAATCTCCCCCGTCACAAGACAGACCATCTATGAACAGAACGAAGCCAGCTCTCCTCCATCGCCCTCACCTGCCACGCCAACACCCTCTCCTACGTCTGTGGCTCGTCGGCTGGGGTCGACAGTCGCTAACTACACCCCTGTGATGAACGGCTCCAGCTACCGCCATACCCTGGAGGCGCGGCATGGCAGCGTAGTGGGTGTGGCTGCTGGACTAGGTCAGCCCGCGCCTTCCTCGATTGCCTCAGTTGCCACGGCGGCCATGCTAGTCTCAGCCAACCAGGTGCGAGAGAGTGCCAGTGCGACAAAAGACCAAGCAGCAAAGGTAATGAGTCACCTCCAGCCTCCAGTACAGGCGGCGAGGACACTGGAGGTAAAATCATCCCCGTATCTACGGCAACCCAAAATCAAACACTTGGATGATGCAGTGACGCCGCTGCTTGTGGCCAGCCGGCTGGAGAAAGCGAGGGAGAGGGAGAGGGGGAGGGAGAGAGAGATAATGATGGGAGAGATAGGGACGGAGAAGGCGGAAGTGGCTGTGATGGCCGAGGTGGTGCTCCAGGAGCCGAGCCGGGAGCGTCTGCACAGCGAGCCCACCAGAGGGCCACGGGGGTCCAGGACTGACCCATTAGGCCACGCTGAGCCCCAGGTCCAGACCCACACCTACCACAGGGACCACAGGATAGAAAGGCAGCTGTCTAGCGAGCAGTTGATCCAGGCGCGCAGGGACGAGTTGCCTCAGGAGGTATGGAGGGAACATGCAGAGAGGAGGGAGAGACGGACGCTGGAGAGGCAAACGTCCAGCGAGCAGGAGGGCCACGGGGGCCACGAGGGCCGGCGAAGAGAGAGGGATCGACACCGGGTGGAGAGACATGAATCCAGTGAGCACGACACCGCGAAGGAGCAGTCAGACAGACGCTCAGGAGGAGGGTGAGACTTTATTTCAGCTGAGCACAATAAATCATAAATGTTGATCTTCTGTATCTCTAAATGTGATTTTTTTTCTACAGAGAAAAGAGATCCACCCTGGCAGAAATTGTAGAGCAGCTGCAAGAAAGAGAAGCGGCGCAGGTCTGGAGATTTATGTGTTGTGCATTTCATCCAAATGCAGTGTTTGCAAATATTCAGAGTGTTTATTTGTGTTTTATATTCTAGCTTGATAAAAAAACTAAACAAACTTACTCCCACCACTGAATCCCAGAGTTTTTTCCAGTCAGTTTTGTGGTAAATCCCCCCATTATATAGAGTCCAACCTCTCTCTCCCCACCGTCAGGCCCGTGGTGAGGTGCCCCGCCTGCCTAACGGGTTACCAGAGAAGTCTTCCCGTCCCGAACGGCCTCGAGCTCGGGACAGACCAAAACCGCGGCGCCGACCACGACCCAAAGACGCAGGAGAGGCGACAACGCGGCGGTCCAGGTCTGCTCCGGCCCAGAGCAGCCCGGCAGTTCCCCAGCCTCCAACACACACCGCACACCACGAGGGCTTCCTTTTCCGCAAACTGGACATCGAGACCCTGAAGAAGAGCACCAATAGGTGGGTGTTCAGGGTCATGATGATGATGATGATCATAACATCTGGACGAGCAGATGATAGAAGTCAGAGAGAAGGAGGATGGACACTGGTGTCATGAGTATCAGACTTAGATTTCAATTAATTAGAAAATGGTCAAATAGTCCTTGGAAGTAATTCTTACAGTTTCATTTGGTACTCCAGGAAGGTTATTTCTTACCTTCTCGGAGTAGCAGATTGGCAAGGTTTACCACAAAACAACAATTATTCAAGTTATTTTTCACATTAAAGGATACCACTGGATTGTTGCTAAATCTAAACTCTTTGGTCCTTGCTGTCGACTTATGCGACCCCCATTCCTCAAGGACTGAGGTTGGGTAAAACTAACTGCTAAAAAGTATTTTCAGATACTATTTGACTCATGTTGACTGCAGCACACGTCATACGTCTGCTGTCTGTTCCTCATGACATCACTGCCCCCTCCATTTACTGATTCAACAACGATGACAGGGGCATGACTCCAGCATGCTAAGCTAACAAGCTCACACACTGCGCTGACACCACGGCTGACATGTTGAACAAATGCATGACTGTCAACGCTGCAGAGGACACGTGAAGCCTCAGTGGTTTCCCCGGCGTGTGGGTCAACACGATAGAGGCGACACTAAGCTAAAGTTTGGAATTACTCAGCAGACATACTGTATGTCTTTAGAAGCATGCATACATTAACACTTGATTATATTCAAAGGATTTTCATTTTTACCTATTTTGTTTACTAGAAAAAGTTGGAAATAACACAAACACAAGTCTCATTATTAAGAATAGTTTAGTGAAGTTTAGCAACGAGGAAGTAAAATCTAACTGTGTTGTGTTGCTTGTTGCTCGCCCTCAGCACTGTCTTCAATCTCTAACCAGTCAGAAATATAAAGTGTTGTTTGCTTCCAAAACACATAGAGCTGTTTGAAGTTGCAGTGCCCAACAGTTTATAATTGATGATGTTTTTTTAAATGTCTGTTAGATTATCAAGTGGTTTGTCAGCTTGTAGATGTATAGTTTCCTCCACAATTTAGAAATTATCTAATAAAGAAAAGTATTGATGCAGAACTCTAAACATTAGAGAATCCCATTGACAGTGGCACCAGGAGACACTACATTTTATTTTCACATCAGGCTGGAGCTTCTGAATATTTTATTGTACTGTGTGTCATCTCCGATCATCAGGATCAGAAAGTGAAGACAACAGTTACATGAATTAAAACAGCAACCCGCAGAGATCTTACCGCATGTGGAAACATCATGCATGACGCTTAAGATGCCTCCTGATCTAACACGGGCCCACAGAATAAAGCACAGCAGCAATGGTTGGCTGGCTAAGGGACTGACTGGCTGATGAATGCCTTGGGAGTGGAGGCTGATGGAGCTGCTTGTCTACTTGCTTAGACTACACACAAGCACACGCACACACGCACACGCAAACACACGCACACACACACGCACACACACACACACACCACCTTGGCCTCCACAGACGACCACCCTGCTTCCTCCAGAGAGACACCAACGGCAAAGTCTCTCTCTGCACTGCCCTCTAGTGGCTGGGCTGACCACGCACAGCTAAACGCTCATCCCCTTCCAGCTATGGATGAGTCCCACTCACTCAAGGCAATGGATGAATGTCTCGTATGTACATGCCCTGTTATGTACATGGCAAGGTAAAGCATAATCCTGAATGGCTTAAAACTGGACAAGTGTGAATCTCCGGCTCCTGGTTCGGCTTATTGTATGCTCTCTTTTTTGCTTTATATTACATTTTTGATTGGAGGTGGGGAGATCTGTGGGGCGGGCCTACAGACCTTTTCCTCCAGTCACTACTGAGAAAGAGATGATACAGTTAGTCTGCGAGGAAGGATTGAGATTCAACCTGTCTCTGTTACATAGCTACATGATAAGGCACTGAGTATGTTTATGTGCACATTAATATTCTGGTATTATTTAGGACAACCAAGTGTTCCTTGTAATAGAGTACAGTGCATGTGAATGGTGTCTACTCTTTACAATGAACTGAAACTGACTGCGTATCGTGGTATAAAAAAATGTCAGTTAATAGTTTCACATCACTTTTGGCCGAGAGCTGTCATAGCTCAGTTTCTAATTAAGGGTTTCCTTCATCAGATGTACTGAGGTTTTATGTCCACATTCTACGATGAATAAATATCTACTACTGTAAAATGACAACCTTTTTTTGGTCACTAAAGCTCTTTCACAGCCAAAAATCGCAGTGTAAAAGGGCCTTTAGACAGCACGTCTTGTTGTTAAATACCTGGAAAATAATGGTGGACAATAAAAACAACTTAGTAGCTGTTATCACAGCGTTCCACCATAAGATTCGGTTGGAAGTGCAAGAAAAGCTACATAGTGAAGTCTACTACTGTTACCAAAGTCAAGAACAACATCTAGTTTTCATCTTTATTAAAATGATGTGGTTCTATCTGTATGACATTGGTGTCTGACATTGGAGTGTCAAAAAAGATCAATACCTTATTGTTATTGTTTTATCATTTACATCCTCTTCCTTACCACAGCCATGAGCTGAATTTCCCTCAAGGTCACTTTATCTTTAAAATGTTATCTCTAAAATTGAACCCTAATAGAAGGTAGCTCTAATATTAGCAATGTAGACACCTTATCACATGCACCATTGGTCTTCTCAAGTCTACGCTGTGTTTGCACTGTTAGTTCACAAAGGTATTTTAAAATTGGGATATTAAGCTGCACACAGACAGTTTGCTCTGAATAATACCTATACTTGGGTGTAAGCTAATAATTGGAATGCTGTGTGCATGTAAACACGCTCACAAAAGAGAAAAGAAGCATGACTGAAAGTTTATGTTGTGTTGTTGCCAAAATGCCATTTAACCAAACTCTCCCTCTTTTCTCTTCTCTTCCTTGGTGCTACTGGCTGCTCTTCTCGTCTCCTCCAAGGTAAGACATATATAACTCCCACACAGAGACACCTAAACTGTACGTAGCTCCCCATCCCTCCATCCCCCACCTCCCTCCGTCCGTCTGTCTGTCCGTCCGTTCGTCTGTGTTTGTTCAGCAGTGTGTTTCCTCCTCCCTTCTTGGCGCCGGTCCATCTCGCCTACCTACCTGTCTGCTCTGGTCAGGTGAGTGAGGTGTTAGCTTAGCGAGAGCGACTCCGTAGCTCTTCCTGACTCCTCCCATCTCCCACCCCCCCAAACCACCCCACCTTCCCCGTACGTTGGTTCCCGCCCCTCCCACCTTCCCCTCCTCCTCCTCCTCCTCCACTCTCCCTTCCCTCACACCTCCCGCCTTTCCACACCACAGCAGGTCATGGGTCAACCTGTACTGCGTGCTGAACAAAGGGGAGATGGGTTTCTACAAGGACGCCAAGAACACCACCACGCCCTACAACAACGAGCCGCTGCTCAACCTCTCCCACTGCCACTGCGACGTCACCAACGGCTACAAGAAGAAGAAGAACGTCTTCACGCTCAAGTGAGGATCTGTTTTTGTATTTTTAAGGCACATATGTGATTTTTTTGAAGGATCAGACTCTCATATATAAACAGATTAGGTGTAAAAGCACCATAAAAGTCAGAATATTTTGACCTCTGCTGCCTTGATTTTGCCCAAATATGTTTCTTGTGATCCGCTCCAACTTAAAAGTGACATAGTTAATTGCAAATACTATTTGAGCTGTGTCCTAAAGAAACTTTATTGTAAAGTTATCCACCAAACATGTTTGTAAATTCCTGTCCTCTCATTGCAGAACGAAGGACGGTAGCGAGTTTTTGTTTCATGCAAAAGATGAGGTGAGACATTCCTGTGTTTCTAATTACATCTTAAAAAAGCTAAAGTAGTGTTTTATTGATTACACAAGTTATAAATAAATATAAATAGTATACCAATCACCAATCAGCTGACATCTGTGCTCCCGCCCCCCTCTCAGGATGACCTCAAAACGTGGGTGACCAACATCACCGCCAGTATATCGGAGCACGAGGAGATTGCCAAATGGGGTCAGCCCCAACCAACTACCTCATCCACCGACGAGGGCACACGCCGTGACGGCAGCAAGGCGGACAACAGGTCAGAGCGAGGTGGCGAGCGCTCAGACCGGGCCGAGCGGATTGAAAAGGCAGAAAAAGAGCGGGAGAAAGAGAGAGAGAAGGAGAAGGAAAAAGAGCGGGAGCGAGGCGAAAGGTCGGAGAGGTCAGATCGTGGCGGGAAGTCGGACGCGAAGCGCTCAGAAAAATCTGGTAAGAAAAAGTGAGCCGGGTGACTGGATTGGTCGGGATTGAAGCATATGAACTCCGGAGGAGGCGGGGCCGTAGACTGGTAGTGAACGCCCCCCTCCTTCTCTCCGCCTCCAACACTGTCAACAAAACGGTTGTGTTTGGATGGAAGGTGACACACAGGACAGAGGGACTGACCCAGGCTCACTCATAGGACGGACAGGACGGATTTGGAGCAGGAGACATCTTTCTCTTTCTCTCTCTCTTCTTCTGTGTCTCTGTGAGAACGCACAGAGTCCAATGACGCTCCGCCTACGCCCCCCTGGTGGCTGTTTCAGAGAACTGCAGAGAGAATTTTCGTAGCTGCTGAACCCCGGGCAGCGTTAACGCGAGAGAGAGACGGGACACGCATCATGTTAACTCAAAGGCTGTTACTGATTGCTGGTAGTGCGATAAAACGTAGCTCATTCTGTTCCATGTTTGTTTTTTCTATGAGATGAGCTGTATCTGTATGTATTCCTCGTCTGTCTGTCCTATCTACTGTATCTATCTGTCTGTCTGTAAGTCGAAGACATCCTACACTATGAAATCGAAAGAGAATTGAATTATGCCAAAATGTTTTACAGACATTCAAACTTAGAGGAACTGTTTTCTCCACTTTGTCTGATCTGTCTTGAGGTCTGGCCATGAAAAAATGTGGAACTGAAAACTGAAATTGGTTTTACTATGGTACCAAACGGCACTGAAACCACGTTCATCCAAACTCACCACGGATGAATCAACACTGATAAACAGCTACAGTACTGCGCTGGTTCTAGGAAGTTAGAAACATGATGATTTAAGACAACAGAAGAGTAGATGGCCGACCAAGGTGACGAACTTCAAAATAATCAGGTGCATAAAAAATGTTTAATCATTGCTCAGAAATTAATAGAATACATCCAAAGGCTTGAAATCTTGACCTTAAGAACACAACAAATTGAAATTTTCTTACATTTAGTGTTGAAATCTGCCCACAAAGAGCAAACAGAGCTGTTTTCCTTTGTGGGTTTATTTAGTATTAAATATGTTTCTCATTAAGATTTCTGCCAGACAGATGGGTCATAAGGTGTTTAACCTGTGACATAAAGACTACAGGACGGTATGATCACTGCAGCCACTTGAGCTCTCTAGTCTTCAATTCATAAAAAGAAAACAACAACATATGTACAGTTCTTGGCTCAGTGATCAGAAAAAGATAAAAATTCATATTAATCTGATGGGGCTTCATTCATTAAAATGTTTAATTTCAATATAATTAACGTTCAAAATCGATAAAACAGCAAAAAAATTCTAGCATTCATATTTTGGGTAACTTTAGAGTTACGTTTTAATATTTCAAAGAAATTGGTGACATTTATTGTAACCTGCTGATTTTAGCATCAGGATCAGTTTTCCATAAATTACATGTTTGGCTTTTGGTCATAAGCACAAAATCTGCGGCTGGCATGTTTTTAATGAATGAGGCCCTCAGGCTGAAAAACAGGCCTCATCTACTCTTTTATTCTCTTACAACATCAAACTCCTCGTTGGATATTCTCTTTGACTTATTCACACAAATCTGTTGCATCCTTTTTTTATACAGAATTCAAAATATCTTGTTTTTGTGTGTGCATTTGTGTGTG